CATGTTTATGTCGGGAACACGTGAGGAGACTCACAATTCGATCCAAAACAGCCGTATGATTCGATCCGAGTAGCTTTGAGATAGTCTTCGTCCACACTTCACAAGAGTAACGATATTCAAAGTAGATGTGATTTCGTGTTTCTTCCGCATTCTCCCAAAGCATACACTCTGAATTCTGCCATGAGCCCCAAATTCGTATTCTATCTCCCGTTGTCAACTTGTTTTGGACTGCTAACTGACTGTAAGGATCTTATTTAGTTTGAGAATATCTAAGATCAATGCCGAAAACAAGGTTTAGAGAATATTATTCTCTGAAAAGTTAAAAACTCTTTAATTTTATTAATCAAACAACTGAATACAATAAGAGACTTTAATAGGTGTTATGAATAAGAAGAAAAGAGAAGGAATTGAGTTGTCTTTTATTCCATGAGAAATACAAAGTATATATAGAGATACAAAGTTTGGAGAGGAAGTACAACTTGAAGAAAAGGTAAGTCAAGAAAATTCTAGAATATGGGCCTATGATATCTAATGAGTTTATAACAATAGACTATTTATAATAAACCTGAAAATCATATGAATCTCTGAAATATTCTACAAACTCTAAAAAATAAACACTAAAATAATAAATATAATTAAAATACATATAAATGGAAATAATCCTAAGTATGTGAACATCACTAACCAAATTAGAAAGGAGTATTTAGGACTAGCGTGGGTGAACCATACTCTTTTAAACCACGTCTTCACTGGTTGAGCAGTTTGGAGAAGCCTCAATGTATTTTGTTTGACGAAACATTGCTTGAAACCACATTCTGAATATTTCCAAAGAGATCTATCGACCTCCTCCTTTCGTAATGATTTCGCTTTTTCCATGGCAGCCTCGCATTGAGATATCACTGAATAGAATTTGACACTTTCAAACCGAATTGAACCATTTGGTTACATTTTTTTAATAAACTTATGCTTTCATATTATATTCTTCTTTGTCTTTTTGCTAAAACATTGTTTTTATTGCTACTAATTTTTATGTCATAGACAAAAATCAAGAGTTAATAAATTCCAACCAAATATTAACTAACAAAATTTTGTGGGGCAGCTAACCAGTCCGGCTGGACCTATTGAATGATATGTTTATTTAGCTTGAAAATGATCAAACATC